TTCCGTCGTCGTTCGGTAGGTAGCGCGAAATAGGACATGAAAAAAAAAAAAAGTCATCCTCCGATCCTCCTTTTCCCCCTTCTCCGCTCATTAACTTCTTCTTCTTCTTCTTCTTCTTCTTCTTCTCCTCTTCTTCCTCTCCCCCTCATCCCCCTGTCGTTTTCTTCATCTTCCTCCACCTTATTTGATCGTCTTCTTCCTCCACTCCTTCCCCTGTTGTTTTTCTCGCCGACAAATTTTTTTTTTTTTTTTCTTCTTCTTCTTTTTCTTCTCCCGCTCTCGTCTTCTTTTTCTCCCCGTTCTCCCCCCATCGTTTTCTTCTTCCTCCACCATTGAGCATCTTCGTGTAAACTACCATCAACTCCATCCCTCCATCAACCACACACCCCACCACCATCACCTCCCTCCAGTTACCCTGTCCACCCCCACCACCCCATCACGAACTGCTGCTGTTCTTCTCCACCCCTATCTGCTGCTTTTTTTTTTTTGTCATCTGTTGCCGTTCTTCCCTATCCCCATCTGCTGCTGTTTTGCTCCAACCGAAGTTCGTTAATTTCTTCTTCTTCTTCTTCTTCTTCTTCTTCTTCCTCTCCTCCTCTGAACGACATGTCTTCCTCATGCGGCCCCTCGGGCAGCAAGGATGTCGATGCCGAGACTAGTGGTGCTGGTACAAAGGGCAGTGGTGGCAGGAAGGGTAAGGCGAAGGGCAAGGCGATCAGCTGCAAGCCCCCATTCGAACCTGCACCAGAATCGACGCAGCAGGGGCTGGAGAAGACTAAGCCAACTTACAAATGGGTGTTGCGCGGACAGGAGTCGGAGCCTACCGGATTCAGAAATTACTGGCACAAGTGCAAGCTGTGTGGCAGGCAATGGACAGCGTCGTACACACAAGTTGTCGCCCATTTCACAGCGAAGAGGGAATCGTGTTCGGGGCGGACGGACGAGATTCTGCATATCCTCGTGAGCAAGGGGGCGAAGATCGATTGCCCCATCACGAGGAGGAGGATCCAGCTCTACCGGATTGAGCACCACATCGCAGACAGATCACAAACCATACCTGTGGAGGACACCGTGAGGACAGACACTTTGGCGGACTTCATAACACCTCCAGCAACACCGGGTAGAGCGGCGGTCGGCGACACCGAAGACGACGAAGGCGGGTTGACAGCGGAGCTTCAAGCAGTTCGTAACGGTAGTGTAGGCCCATCGGGTGATGGATCAGCAATGACGAGGGAATCTGCACTCCTGAAGCAAGCTTCGATAAGGCGATGGACAGAGAATACGTCGCAGCAGCGGCTCGACATCGCCTGGGCTTCCATCTCTACGAGCATGGGGTTCCGTTCAACTACGTGACTGGGGAGAAAACACAGGAGCTTCATGATTTGTACTTGGAGCCGGGGGAGAAGAAGCAGCGTGTGAAGATGCCGAATAGGATGCAGATGGCCACCGTCGTCCTCGACATCACGTACGAGAAGACACGAGAGGAGATGAGGCCGTTGATGAACACGTGGGATAACAGTGGTTGCACACTCATCACCAATGGGTGCACGGATCGAAAGTTCAGACCAGTCATGAACTTCATTGCAGCCGGTGAGAGTGGAGTCTTTCTGTTGAAAGTGGTTGACATGTCCAAGAGGAAGAAGACCGCCATTGCATTGGCGAAGTTATGGGAGGGCGTCATTCGGGAGATCGGGGTGCATAGAGTGAATGCTTTGTGCACGGACAATGCCGAGGTGAACAAACAGGCGGCGAGACTGCTGAGGCGGCGAACAGATTCGCGCATTGCACGCATTCCGTGGGTGTCGTGCGCAATGCATTGCCTGAACATGCCGCTAAAGGGGATCAGCGAGGAGCCGTGGGCCAACGACCTTTACAAGAGGGCCAAAACCGTCGTCAAGTGCATCAAGAATCACCACAAGACGGTGTCGCTTTTCCTCGGTTGCGCAAAGATGGAGAGGACAAGGACACTAATCATGCCGATTGAAGTCCGCTTCACGTCAGTGTACCTAATGCTACATAGGTTGCTTGATCGGAAGAAGGTGTTGAAGAACATGATGGGAAGAGGTTGGTTGGAGATCAAGTGAGCGACAAAAAAAAAGTGACGGACTGCTGATACGATTTACCTCACGGTACGGTCCGAGGAATGGTGGAGCGAGGTGGAGGCAACAGTGGACATCATGTCCCCCGTGTACAATCTCCTGCGGAAGATGGACAAGAGCAGGACTGTGCCCTACCAACTGTGGGGGTTTGAGGAGGCCTTGCTAAAGCGCATGACGACCATAACCAGCGTCTCAGCAGCGCAGCAAGAATCCATTGTACAAAAGGTGAGGAAGTGCTGCAAAATGATGCAGCAGCCAGTGCACGCAGCGAACTTCCTCTTCAACCCGTCCAAGAGGAACCCCGGCTGGATGAATGACCCTAAGTGCCCCCTTATGCAAAATGCGATGAAGTTTTTGTTGTCACAGTGCAAAGAGGGAGCGGCATGGGGGTGTCCAGAGCATCTTCTTTTCTGGAATAGCCTCAAGGCATTCCACAAAGAGCCTGAGGGGAATTCGAGCCTGCCCCCTGCTCGGCAAGACAACTTGTGGGCAAATTTTGCCAAGTACGACTTCAATCTTGACAACCACACAACATTAGATTGGTGGGTCTGCCACGGGAAAAGCCATGCGTCGCTGCAGCGCATCGCAGTCCGCGTCACAGCGATGTGGAGCACCGCCACACCGTGTGAGCGGAATTGGTCAACGCTGGACCTGGTCCACATGAAGAGGAGGAACCAGTTATCCAGTGACACAATAAACAAACTTGTTTATGTGCACTGGAACCTTCAGCTGTTGACGTTCAAGAAAAAGAAGATGGATGGGGTTTATCGATATGTGGGAAGACTTTTTCGGTGTGGATGCTCCGCCGAATCCAGCAGATTCGGACATCCTACCCGACGACGCGCAACCATCATCGGAGGAGGTGGCTCGCAGGGAGCGATTGAGGAAGGCCTCTCAGGGCAGGATTCCAGTCGTGGGAAGGGTGGATGATGACAGTGACATTGATAGCAGCGATGACGGGGAGGATTTGGTTTGGAGGGGGAAGGGCAAGAAAAGGAAAGATTTGGTTCCTAACGATCCCAAGGGCAAGGGGCAAGTGGTGGAGGAAGATTATGAAGAGGAGAAAGAAATGGAGGACAAGGATGATGAGACTGTGTATGGTATCCGCCCGAAAGGGGACTCCGACGAAGATTCAGACGACGACGACAATGGCGACACCGAGGACCCTGTCACTATGAGGCAACAAACATATCAGCTAGATAGTGACATCGACTTCTTGATGCCTCGTGAGGCAGCTCATAGAGGAGGTTACATGGTGGATGAAGTCGACGCGGCGGCAAGAGCAGCGGCGCAAGCGCTTGCGAAGAGAGTATGGAGGAGGAGGCTGCAAGGCGCAATGTTGTTCCATGCACAATTGCAGAAAGGGGAGGGGAGGGATTGATCGGTGGACTAGAGGACAGGGCACGCGGGGGGCAAACAACACCAGCGGCGTTGGCACCGGCAACCGCAGCGGCAACAGCAGCAGCAGCGGCTACAACGGCAACAACAACAACAACTACAACAACAACAACGGCAATTGCGCTGGCACCAGCGGCAGTAACGTTGGCACCAACAGCAGCGCCAGGAGCAGCAAAGTTGGCACCAACAACAGCAACGCTGGCACCAGCAGCAGCAGCCCTGGCACCGGCAGCAATAGCCCTGGCACCAGTAGCAGCACCAGCAGCGGCCCTGGCACCAGCAACAACGTTGGCACCAGCAGCAGCCCCAGCCGCAACAACGTTGGCAGCAGCACCAGCGCCAGCAGCAGCAACGTTGGCACCAGCGCCAACACCGGCCGCAGCGACGCTGACACCACTGACAGCAACAGCACCAGCAACACCAACGCTGCCACCATCAGTGGAGGCACCACCAGTGGCGCACTGCTATAGGAGGCAAGCGTCCTCAACCACTTCAGCCCCACACACGGGTGAGTCCTCTCGACAGCAGGATGCAGACTTCCCCCCCTTGCTTGTTGATTCACAACACGACAACCTCGAAACGAGCACGGTGGGAAGGAAGAGGAACGAGGTCGAAGAGAGTGCACCATTCCCTGTTGAAAAAAAGAAACGAGGAAGACCGCGCAAAGCGCGACCTGAGACCGACTTGCTGCAGACTGTTCTGCCTCCACGAAAAAAAACAAACAAGGCGGCGGACGAAGAAGAAGTCGAACATCATTAAAGATGACGACGACGATGAGCCATCGGGAGAGGAGAATGATGGCGGAGGGACTGGAGACGACTCGGACAAGAATTGGCATTAGTTGTTGAGAGAGAGAGAGAGAGAGTAATTGAACTTCTCATTCGAGAAGAGTCTGCACGACTCTCCATTCTCGAGTGTTCAACAATGTGTGGGGTTTGGAGTGTGCTCGCTTTCTCGCTGTGTCAGTCTGCGTCAGACTGCGTGTCCATTTCCACGTGCAAGCATGGATGTGTGTGTGTTGTATGTCATATGTGTATGCTATGTGTCTGCTGTATAGGTCATACTATAGGATGTTTGCGAGTTTAGTTGCTGCGTGCAGTGTGTGGCGGTTGATGTGCATTTGTGTTGGCAGTTGTTCATCAACTGCGTGTCAGTATGTTGGGAATGCAATTTGCTGTTGTTGTTGTAGTTGATGACATCGGTTGGTTCATCGCAAGTTGCTGTTGTTGTTGATGTTGTTGTCATTGTTGTTGTTGTTGTTGTTGTAGTAGTAGTAGTTATTATTGTTGTTGTTGTTGTTGTTGTTGACGGTTTCGTATGATAGATAACTGTCAGCAAGAACATCAACTGAAGAACAATAAAAGACAACCCACAACAATAACAACAACAACTCCAACACCTCTAGTAGCAGATCTAACAACAATAAAACAACAACAACAACACGTCGTTACCCCCACGGGATCAAACTGTGCGTCGATAGTTGATATGACTAAGTAAGATGGGAGAGAGTAGAGAGAAAAAAAAAAATTTCGCCAGCACGTCGTTACCCCCACGGGATCAAACTGTGCGTCGATAGTTGAAATGACTAAGGCCTAAACAGATTCAGAGGTGCCGCAAAAAAAAAACAATTTTTTTAGGAAAAAAATAAAATAAAAATAAAATAAATCAGAAAAATAAGAAAAAAAGTCGATAGTAAAATAATTCAAATTTTTAAAGAAAAAAAATAATTTAAATAAAAAAGAAAGACAAAAAAAAATAAAAAATTTCGAAGTTGTGGGGTGAGGGGAATGAAAAGTGAAGAAGGAAGAGAGAAATAAGTGAGAAAGAGAAAAGATTGAAGTTGGAGATGGGAGGGATGATGGGGTTGTAGTTGGGGTAGGGAAGAGGCAGAGTAGGGTGCGAGAATGAGGAGGAGGAAAGAAAAAGATTATGGAAGATGAGTGAAGAGGGAGGTAGGAGGAGAGAGGAGTGGTGACGTTAGAAAAAATGATTAGATGGTGGAGGGGGGAGGAGCGAGAGAGGGGGGGTGGGAGAGTAGGTTTGTGGGGAGTGATGATATCAAGCTCTTGGTTGCCCAAGAGCAACAAGATCACCAGATCTTGGCCTTCAAGATGCTGGCAGCCTGCTGCTGCAGTAGAAAAATAATATTGAAGTAGCTTGAGATCTTGATCAGCCACTCTGGTTGCTCTGACGCGCAACCCCCTAGCCAGGGGGATCTTCACTGCTGGCAAACTGCTAGTGCAACAGTAGAAAAAATAATGGCCAGCATCATCATCAACAACTGGGTGTGCTGAGATCCTGATCAACCACCCAGATTGGCCTGTACTGCAGCACCCTGGGCAAGAGGGGGTCTTCAACTCCTCAGCAAGCTGCCACGTGGCACGGGCAGTAGCAGCCACGTTGCCTCCGCCGCAAGGGGGGGGCGAGAGGGTTAAATGGCTTGCACAGTACTTCTTCAACACCAGCATGTCGCACTAGTGAGCCATACAGGCACTTTGAGCAGTGTCTTACAGCACTGGCTACACACGCTCATAGCCAGCAGCTGCCCAAGTTCAGACCCTGGCAGCAGCATGCATCCCGGATCGTGATATAACTAATCTGGGAGCGGGGTGGGGCGGGCAAAGGGGCAGCGTGGGCACGTGGCGCATGCGTGTGCGGTGGCCATGGCCTTGGCGCTCGCACGCACACTCTGGCGGCAGTCTCTCTTCTTGCACCACCTGTCACTCCCTTGTTGCTGTTTCTGCACTTCTCTCCGCTGATTCCCGCAGTTTTCGCCAGAAAACAACAAAAAAACACGTGAAAACTCACTGTCGGGTTTTACACCATATATCGGGCTGTGATGGGTAGGAGCGGGGAACGTTCCGCTCTAATACGGGTGTGGCGGACCTACCGGGTGAGGTGCTCCACTTGGGATAGAGATGGAGATGGAGGATGAGGGTGGAGCAAGATGACACCGCACAGCTCCCACGCAAGACTCCAACGCACGTACTCCAAACTGTGCGAATGTAGAATGATCCGAGTACGGACTCTGGTTCGGGTCAACCCCAGCAGACTGACTGGACTGGACTAGACTGGCTGGTATCGACAGAGGTACCGGCCTGGACTGAGCTACCCCGAATACAACACAGGCCTGTGAGAGCAGGCCAAGGGGCTGGTCTCACAGGCCAACCAGAGGTCCGCTACAAATATTATCAGGAACCAAATTTTGTGCGCTTCATAATACGAACTACCAACAATAAAAATTCTAAATTTGGGAAAGGCAAGGCACATAATTTATCAGTTACCGAAATTTTGGAACTCAAAAAAAAAAAATCGAAAAAAATCAGGTACTGCACAATTTCGGATGTTACGAAAAACGCATTTGCACCGGAGAAGAAAATTCACGAAAATTAAATTTGGAAGTAAGGAAAAAAAAACAGAAAAATCGCAAATGGGAGTTGATTAGGATAACATAATCAAATAATCAATCAATCAATCAATCAATCAATCAATCCATCAATCAACCGATCAATCAATCGATCGATGAAGAGTAATCGATTAATCAATCGTTGCATGAATCAATCGATCAATTAATCAATCAATCAATCAATCAGTCAATCAATCGTTCGATTGATTGTTCCCAATCGTACGCCAAGTCGGAAGCAATCCATTTACACACGCGGGACTCCGATAGCAAGTCGTACATGCTCAGTCGAGCGATGCATATGGAGCGACGAATCTACAAAGTGATGAAAAGAGACTCGAATGGATAACGTAGCGTCAACAAAGCATTAAACTGCCAGTCCCCCTGATGTCAGAAACCTTGGGGTACCAGTAGCGCCGTAGTATAGAGTAGAAAACTGGGCGGGCCTAAAAAATAGAATTTGTGGCAAAAAACGAAAATGCACCGAATCGGCACGACGAATATTTCACGGTCAAAATATTATTATTTTTTTTCTGATATTTTCCCTTGATATGGACTCTCAAATTTTCAAGCATTTTGATGAATTTTTATGAGCACAAAAAATCGGCAAAGCTGCTGCTTACAAATGGCGGGATTGGACACACCGGTGACGAATGGTCGCCGCCCCGCCGTACAACTTGAACCCGGCCCTAACTCACAAGGCCGACTGTTTTCGGTTGTCGGGGGGACAAACGGTTTAACAACCAATATACATCCAAATACATATGATTGATAACGCAATGTAGCGCAACCTCAGACTCAGAGATATGACCTCATTTGTCAGATACTCATGTGACACCCCATCATCCACCACACATGTGAAAGAGGGAGGAGGGACCGCATACATGGAAGAAAGGTCCCTCCTTGACCACGCACATGAAGGAGAGACAACGGATGAGGAGATGGGGGAGAAGTGAGATGGAGATGGAGGGGACGGAGAAGACGAAGATCGCGCTATCGAAGTCAAAAAATAGTCTCCTTGCCGAATGTTTTGCATGTCTGCCACAAAAAATCTCCAATCAGATATTGGTCTTCATGCCCGATGTGACCTCTCTCTCTCTCTCTCTCTCTCTCTCTTTCTCTCTCTCTCTAAAGAAGAAGAAGGCAGGAGGAAGACGAGATGGATGGTGAGATAGAGAATAAGATAAAGATATCGTCCTCCTCGTTGTTTAACTCACAGGTAACTACCGCCATGTACTAGCTGCCACCGTTGTCTCTCTCTGTGTGCAGGTCGCTGTCGAGAGGCCCAGCTATGACGCCAGGTATGAGCTTCGTCGACGCTGGTATGGTCTTCATTTCCTTCCCTACCTACACCTTTACCTCTTCTGCAGCGCTGTCATGGTGCTCCAGCAGCGCGTTGTCGGAGGGCATGATATCCCGGCCCTCCGTCGTGTGCTGAATGTCTGCTCATGTATCTCTGATGCGGGTCATGTGCTTGCTTACATGCCTCAGCCGTGAGATCGGTCCAGCAGACGTTACCACCGACAAAAGGGTGGGTGCGCCACTGGGGTTTCCATTGGTTCACGCAGGTTCGGCGCTCTGCTGTACAGCAGAGCACTGTCGGCCTGTGGCGGTGGTAGCCGCCGGGCTCACCCAAGGACCAGGGTTTGACTTTAGCCCGCCCGTTTCTCTTTGGACGAATATATGTTTGCTTGTTATTAATTAATATTCATAGTGATTATGTGATTATTGCATGATCACTACACTCCACTGAGTGAATGAGTGGCAGTGCACCGACCCTGAGTGAAGGTCAAGCATCCCTGCCCGACGTTGCCCCTCACTAGTTTACCTATTCTCTGACTGAGTGTTACGTTGCCTGCTCATCGAGTATATTTTCTAATTTCTATTTTATTTAAATTAATGAGAATCAAGGGTGATGTACGTCACGCACTGCAGAGAAGAGGTCGTGCACAACTTGTACCCCTGTTCAGTATTTGAACCATGGGGTATAGGCAACACCCCGTGCTATATTCGAAAGTAGGCAACACAAATTTGCACCCCTGTGTTCTATTTGAACATACGTGATGCAGAGCTGTACCCCTTTGCCCAGTTTGTCTCTACAGCTTGATCACAGTGGCAGTGGGCAGTGCGCGCTTCCTCCATGCAAGATGAGTAGACAGGTCGCTGCCTTCTGCCACAAAAAGGAGTATTCAACTTGACATAAATAGTTGTTTAATTTGCCCTTATCCAATCTTGCTGGGGTTCAGGCTCTATAGTCGGATCACAACACAAGTGGGCGGAAAGCTCAACCCTAAGCAAAGGGTAATTGTGTGCATTGTCGCCCTCGTCTACAG